GTGTTTTTTTCATCAACGACTTTTGTCATTAATTTACTTCCATAGTCCTTAAACGCTGGGTCCTCTAACCACTTACGTGCAAATTTGCACTTACCCATGATGATTATGACTTAGCTTTTCTGAGTGTAAGCAGCCAACATGTACTTTAGTGCGCAAACTGTTTAAGACGTCGCTCGACCACCGAATATGACGTCAGCATCACAGAGATCATCTATGAATGAAGGAATGAGCTAATCCACATTTAAGATAATTTGCGAGAAATTTAGCAGATAAACTTTAAAACACAAATGGACAATTTGTAGTTAAAAAAAAATCTAAAATTTAATAGGCCTACCTCGTAAATTTGCGTGTAATACCTTTTAATACTTTTTAATGGCTTTAATTTTTGCTTATGTGATTTACTACCTTTTAATACTTTTTAAAACCCCGCGGACACCATGTAACAGTACAGAAAGTGAATTTGGCCAGTATGACTTGGAGCAAATGTGCCACTAATACAGGTCAGGTAGAAAGGGGATCATGCAATGAGGAAGTGAATCAAAACAAAAGGGGACCTCACTCATAATGAACAAGAGTTCAAAGTAGCCAAACTTTATTTTTATGCTTATGTTATAATAAATATACAAAATACAAAACTGGCAATTCTTGAGCATTATAAAAATACATTAAGATAAACAGGTTTCGTACCAAAGTCAAGCTCCAAGCATCCAGGACTGTAAACAATGACATTTATAAAGCAATGGAACTGTTCTGCAGAGTGCTGTATCAAGGCTGGCAGCTGTAAACATGGACGATTAGCCTGGATGAGGGCTGGAGGCAGGTAATTCACGGATTGGTCTTCAGCACATCGGATTTATTCAAGGCTCACGGCAGAGCACAGCTACATCACGCGGCCAGAGGCCCAGCCTGCCGACGCACATGCCCAGATCACCGCTGCCTCGGATCACAGCTCGTCCTTCTCTTGAGACGCCGTCTCCTGCTGGCATTCGCAGTCGGCACTGTGATCTGAGGGCTGGGGTACCGGGTCCATGTCGGGGTGCACAGTGGGCCGACCATGCTGCCTTTGGGCATAGATCTACGAGGAATACATGGAGTACAGGCCCTGAGCAGCTGGCAGTAGTGTGGAGAGTGAAACTGGATTGGACTGGATTAGGATTAGATTGGATCAGATCAGGTTACATTGGTTAGGTTAGGTTAGTTTTCTGGATCCCAGGTGGACATTCTTGTACATACAGCAGCAAGGAAAGTACAGCACAGATGAACAGACATCAGTCCAAAACAGAGAAAGTGTGACGACAGTATGCATGGTGTAAACAAGTACATGCAGTAGCGGTACCCAGAGAACAGTGTGATACACTGCATTCTACCCATAGTGCACTGGAGCACAAA